GGCGGGCAGCGGCGGTGCAGGCGCGGCGGGCGAGGGGAGCGGCGCGGCCGCGGGGGGCAGCGCGGCGGGGGCGGGCGAGCGGAGAGCGGCTGGGGGGGGCTCGCTGAGGCAGAGCTTGCTGCCGGCCGAGAAAGGAGCGCAGCGGCAAGCGCGGAGAACCCCGGCGTGTGCCCCTCTGCGCTCCTTCTGCCGGTATTTCGGTGTCTTTTTTCCCTTCCCGCGCCGCGCAGCCAGCGCTCCAGAGGGGACCGCCGCATCGGGAGGAGCTGTTACTTTTTACAGCCGGCATGAGGCTCCCCGAGGGAACAAGAAGACGCCGCACTAAGCAGCCGGGGAAGAACCTGCTTCTCATCTGTTGCAGCGGAGCCCGGCGGCAGGCGCGGTTCCCCCGGCCGAAGGTGATGGGCACCCGCTGACTCGTGGGCGCGCGTCCGAGAGTGCCTGCATGTGTGGCAAACATGGAGAAAATAAAGTAAAAAACGGGGATAGTGGATGAGATGGACGACAGCCAGTGAAATAAAACAGACAGCTTCTAAAAGGATTTAATTTGCAAACGGGATCGTAAAAGGTACAACTTCCATGGGAAAACGTGACCTGTTAAAACTGCTGACGGAAGATGCCGGCTGTCAGCGCAAACACCTAAACCAAGTAAGTTCTCGTCAACTGTGTTCCTTTGATTTATTCTCTTTCTGAGCTTTTGATTACTTTTTTGTTCCTCCTAAAAAACAACAACAACAACAACAAAAAAAAAGAAACACCAAAAAACCCACAAGTCCCTAAGACTGTCTGAGGTAACTTTTTGCGCCAATGGAAGTGACATAAAACGACATAACGAACGCCTTTGGTGGCAGTCCAGGGGAGCCTTAGGACCTCTTCCTTTCTCTTGTATGTAATAAACATGTTTTTCCCTGGCAGCCGCTGCCGTGGGAAACGGCATCCATCCGTCTCTGGATGACACCTGCAGGATAGCGGAGCGCTCAGGGGTCGCAGGGAGCGGGCGGGGTCCGCTCCGTGAGGGCGGAGGATGCTCTGCATCTGCCCCCCGCGCCCGGCACGGGCGAGGGCGGCCGCACGTGGGAGTCCCGCCGGTCTGGCCTCTCCCCCGTCGCTCCCGCCGGCCCGGACGGCGCTGAGCGCACCGCGGCACCCGGCAGCACCAGAGCGGGAGTTCATGTGTCACGCACACGGGTGGGGTGCGGGAGCCTCGCCGCGGTGCTCCCCGCGGTGCTGGCGCGGAGCCGAGGTGCAGCGGGGCTGCCGCTGCTCCCCCCGGGACTGGTAGCCCAAGCTGGGGTGTTCCCACAGAGGTGCCCCCGCGGGGGGACCTCGCTCGCCGCCGGCGCAGTCCGCAGGGACCCTCCAAAAAAAGTCGGGGTCTTGTCAGGAAGGCCTCCCGGAGGGACCTGGAGGATGGTGGGATGCAGGTGGCTGGAGTAGAGGAGGATGAATTGGGCCGTGGGACGGCACAGAAGGGGACTGGTGGGGTTCATCCCCGCGTGGAGTTTACACCTGCAAGGTCCTGATTCTTGAGGAGATGGGACATAAGCTATGGTCCTGTTGGGAAGAAGCAGCTGATGCACTTGAGGTTTAAAAGCCGACAGAAATTCACCACTCTACAAAGGGACACATCTGTGAAATTGTCTTCAGCTGGCAAAACCTGCAGCCTTGTTAATCTAATATTTCCCTGTTTTTACGAGGAAATGTTATTTATGCACTTTTGTTTTACTGGACTCAGTTGAGTGATTTCCTGTTAGCATGGCAACCGAATTTTATATTTCTCTAAGCATGACTTGTGAGATGGCTCTTCTAACGCAACAACAGCTTTTAGGTGGAAGTAAATAAAAACACTTTTTAGTCTGTGTTTTTGTTACAGAGAATGGGTACTCCTCAAAAAAAGAAAACTGTAACAGATTGCATGTTGGTTTCATCTGAGAAAGTAATATTTCTTTCTGTAAGAAACAGTGCACATAGAGGTCTTCTATAAAATGAAGTATAGACAGAATGGGAAATAGTTTATTTTAACTTCTACACACTAAACTAAACACCAACATTACTGCACCTCTAAGTCCAATCTGCTTGAAATTTCAAATCTAATTGTACTGCAGTGACAGAATGTTTCAGTGTTTACGTTACTTGCTCCAAAGCCCAGACCTGGTTAGTTTAGCAAGGTTATCTGTGCAGGCATACTGAATTTTCCATTAATTTAATCTCATTCACATAAGCGAGAGTTCTATGTACAATCAGAGAAGCCAGGCACCAGAGTGAGACTGCTTTAGACTTGTCTTAGAATAGCAGAAATTCTGGATTTACAGAAGACCTGAGTTTACATCCCTTTTTCAGGCAAGACTAAGAAATTAGCTTTGTCCTTTAATGTTAAAGTAGCTGAAACCAAACAGTTTGGTTTTCCTTTGGTTTTGCCTTCTGCAATGATAAATCTTGGTTTTGTTTGCATAGGGATTGGGTTCTTTACTATTGTTTTTCCTCTTTTTCATCAGACTTGTTAGATGAGACTTTATTTGGAAACATCTAAAAATATGTCTGTCTTTTAAATTTAACTTCAACCACTTACTCTGACTCTATGTATAGTAATCATTGCCCTTAAAATAGCTCCAGGAAAAAATTCTATTTCTTCTTATCTCGTGTTATTTAGAGCCAAATACTGCTAACTGAAATTTAAGTCAACTGAGGTCACTACAGATCTGGTATGATTTTTATTATCTTTCTGAGATATCTTTGCTTATCTCCTGAAAATGTTGAGTTCCAAGCAATGAGGTGACAGTAGACTTGCATTACTGCAGTGTGGAAAGCCCACCACCAATATATCAAAGGACAGCCACAGAGAAAACTGTTAAGGGATTAGCTTTCACCTTTGCATTTGTGTGTATATATTGCCTGAGTTAAATAATGGGGGAAAATGAGCATGACTGCTTCTCCCAGTTCCTGAGACTTGTCCCCATACCAATACAGTTTATTCTGTCAGCTTTTTCTGGTATTTGATTCACTGGAGTGAAGAGGAATCAACAGGGAAAATCCTGTGTGGCATCTCTGCTTGCCTTTGGTGATGTTGGTAATTAGTGCTAAAAGGGACTGAATTAATATTGAAAATAATGACTAAGTCACCAAAACTTTTCTTGCAGAAACATAGAAGCAGGAAGAAAAGACTGTTTTAAGAAAGAGCAGACAAGAATAGATGAAGCATTGTTCTATTCAGACACTTAATGATTTTATGAGTATCAGATTTATCATTTCTTTTTCTGTTTAGTTTTAAGTCATGTTGGGTTATATTCTGGTTACTTTCTCAATTATATTTTTAATTACTGAAAGAAGGTTGAAGGTAAAACTTTCTGTATACATCATTCTTCCATTACCATGTTTTGTGACAACAAACAAAATTTCAGAAACCACGTGTTTTAGGAGTCCTGGATCCAGAGGCCAAACTTGCCTTTACTTTACCACACTGAAATTAGGTTAGGTAGTGTAGCATATTGTTAGCCTAACACCAGCAACAATGTTGCCAGAGTCCTCGAGTCCACTGGGATTTGTTGCTGCGAAAAAAAAAATCACCTGACTAAAACTATATTAATTAATATAGTTTCATGTAGTCAACACAGAGAAAGGCTGAGCAAATTAAATCTTCTTTCTGTAACAGATACTTATGCAGAAATGCTTCGTAGGTGCTTTATCACTCAATCAAATAGAATTTGAGACTGTCAAAAGGAACAACTGAAAATAAGACATAATTTAGTGTGCCACAAAGACAAAAGCAACAAATAAATGAGTTATCTATTGTATCATGTTCTTGAAGTTGTGCGTTGGGTTTTTTCGGTTTTGTTTTTTTCTTTTTTCCCTTCAAACCTCTATTTTGGTTTAAATTCTAAAAGTATTTCTTCTAGTGTTTTACAACCACATATTTCTAATTTAGATGATGACTGGTGTGAGACAAAAACTGAAAAGGACCTTAGATACAAATTAGGATTTTTTACAGCTAAGCTATTTTTCAGCAAATGTAGGCTGAAGTGGGACAGGAAAACTTCCTTGAATTTGAGTGAATTTTAGATCTGTCTATGATTATGGACTGGTCAAACCTAATCTCTGAAGTCTGTGACAACTTCTGCAATTGCTTGGTCTCTGAGTCTGTGCTAAATACACTCATCTCAAAAGCTTCTGGCATACTTGTGCATGTGAGATGAACCATTTGAATATTATAGTAATATTATCTGTTATATTATTCAATGGGTAGAAGGGGGAAAAGTAGATGGAGAAAGATTTTTCACTGTGCTTTTCTGAGACAGGGTTTGTGGGATTCTTTTGTAGGTACTTTGCACATATCATTGGAAACTTCTGAGGAGCAAGCAGCCTTTGCCCAGGAGGCAAAGGCCCCCATCCTACCACTGGTGCATGGACAGTCACTGAGCAGCCAAGCCCTATGGTGATGTTCCTAAGCTCTTCCAGTCCTAGCTCAGTATGCGCTGGTTTTCCAGGATACTCAAGATCTTTTTGTTTTAGTTTAGTTTGGTTTGGTTTTTGAAGTGATTTCTTCTGATACCAGTTTTAAGGACTACAAATACATCTTTCCTTGGATCAGAGAATAATAAATCTTATGCTACCTGCATTCACACCTAAGACCATACTGAAGAACTAGGTACTAGGCTTCTCATATCCTTGTGCCAGCTAGTCATGCAAAGTGCAGTTCAGTTGACTTAGAGATGGCACCATAGGAGGACACTAGTCTCCTGTAGGTCTTGTAGCATACAGGCTATCCTTTTGTGGCTGTATCTGGTAAGACTGAACTGACATGAAATACCTATTTGTCAGCTACTGAGGTGAACCTGTAGTGTTTCTTTTCCTTTCTTTGAAAGAGAAAGGCGGAAGAAGCAGAGAGTAAACCATCCTCTGTATTTTCTTGTCGTCTTTATAGCAGAACAAGCATCCTCTAGAGGTGCCTGTCTTTGTTAACTATGCAGCAAGAGCCAAGACAAGGAACCTTCCTTCTTAAGCTAGATTAGCTGAATCCCAGCTGTGCAGAGCAGGCTGTTGTAATACATCATAAAGGTTGAATAAACACAGAGGTCAGTAGATCCAGGACAAAACCCAAAACAAACCAAAACATGCATACATGTACTCATATACATGCACATGCTCCAAGCTGCTATGCTAACAATCTGTAAATAGCAAAACTCACAACTGCCTGTTGGACGTACACTTCTGTAAATTTACCAGCTGCCACCTCTGCAATCCAGCTTCCTTACACAGAATTCTGAAAAACACAGAGTCTTATGCAAACTTTTGTCACTCTTCAGCTCAGGTGTCTGGTTCTCATGGCTGTGAGAGAGAGGCAGCTGCTGCCAAAGAGCCCAGGGAACTTCTCAGTGGTGGCCAAGTAGTGGGGATGGTTATTAACCCAGTTCATAAAGCATGAGAGGAGCATTAATACAGCTCTGTATGGTGAGAAGTTTGCCTGGCACGAGAGCTTCACTCACTCCTTATGAAGAGATGTAGGCATTCTGGTGGTAAGGACCTTACTGTAGTAGACTTTGCATGAGATTGACTGAGAATTCAAATTTCTCCCTTTTCTCCCTTTAACCATCATTTAACCGAAGTACCCACTCACATCAGGGGAAGTTAGCAGTTCTAGGAAATCAATGCTG